ACTTTTAAATGACCGTCCCCACACGGGCACAGCTGTGTCCATAGAACAAGGCAGAACCAAACGGCAAGGGAAGAACATACCTTTCTTGTCATGGCTGGGCAGAAATGAATTTTCCCAGCAATAATTTAGTTTGCTCTTTTAGTAACTTGGTCATGTTTGGCAATTAAGACCCATTAGCTTTGTAAGGACTTTCTCCTGCTGGAGAAGAAAGTTGTCAGAATTGGTTTATTGATATGGATCAAAACATCTGCCTGAATTTCTGGAGTCTCCTTGAAGGCATAGCCATGCAGATTGTCATGGTGAGCACCTGCATTGCAAAATTTACTACTACTGTATTCTGCGAGTGTCTTTGGCAGGAAGGAAAGCGGGAATTGCAAGATATGCATCTTTAGAAGGCAAAGGTCCTTGCTGGGCTGACTTGCCTGCTGTGAACTACTGAAAGCTTTAGTGCTGAATCAGTGTGGAATTCACTATTTGGTGCTAAGTAGAGTTTTGTCAGTACCAAGCAGTTTGAATCTGATGAGTATACATCAGAAGGCTGGAGGGATTACTAAAAGCTAAGAGGATGGTTATAATAATGCAAGATTGAGAGCTAGGGTAGCAAAGTGCTTAGAGCATTGGACTGAGACTTGGGAGATCTGGGTTCTAGTCCCCTCTTGGCCGATAAGCTCAATGGATGACTTTGGGACTGCCACTCACTCTCAGATTTACCTACTTCACAGGATTATAGTGAGGATAAAATGGAGAGGAAGAGAAAGATTGTGTAAGCTGCCTTGGTTTTTCTTGCAGGAGCAACTGAAGAGAAAAAATTAGAACATTTTAAAATAATAAAACATGCTTGACCCATTAAAACAAATTGCTGGCATTGGCAGAAATCAGTGCCATATACTTAAATTTGCAGACATGTAATTTGTTTCCTATTTACCTCCTGCAGGTAGCAGAACATTTGCCGCTTCAAAGTTCTGTTATTATCGAGCAAACTCAGAAGCACTATTAAATCTCAAGCTGTCAGGATCCTGAATCTGGGATTGGCAAACAGATGATTTTCTGTCTCTCTTTGCTGTTTTCCTGCATGTTGTCTTTGTCCATCTTCTTGTCCATGTCTTACTGCCCCTATTCCCTTTACCTCCCATTCCAGACATGCCTCTGCCCAATCAGTTCTCTGGCATGCACACACTTCCTAACTTTAGTCTGGGCGCTGCTTCCTCATTGTCACTGGAGACACAGGTTGCCTCAGTGGCTCAGCGCATTGCTCATCAGCTTAGGCTAATATCCCAGCTATAACCCTACCTGGGCAGAGATGGCCTCCTAACAGTTATTTGTGCTCTGCTAACTGCCTGCTTGGATTATGGCAATGTGTTATTCATGGTGTTGCCTTGAAAAAGGAGCTGGAGGTTTCAGTTAGTTCAAAATAGGTTGGCCAGATTGCTAACTGGGACTGCTCAATGAGATCATATAAAGTCAGTACTTTGGCATCTGCACTGGCTGCCAGCCTGTTTTGGGGCCCAGTTCAAAGAGCTGGCTGTAATCTTTAAAGCTTTGAACAGTATGTGACCATATAATGTGGAGGAACATCTGCTCTCATATTTATGTACCTGGATTACTGGCTGCAGCCCTTCTCCAGATGCCCTTGCTAAATGAAGTGTGGCAGTGGCTGGAAAAGGAACTTTTTAAGGGTAGCACCATTTGTGGATTACGCTCCCCAGAGATCCTTGCCGGGCACCTCCATTTTAGTGTTTTTAAGATGACGTGAAGAACTGCTTTTAGCATTCTGTTCTGCTGTTGGTTTTATGATGCTCTGCACACAGCTACCACAGCATTACTAAACTCCTTGATTTAAAGTTAAGATTGCTTGAGCTCCTCAGCAAGGTGGTAGTGTGCAAGAACTCTTGGTGTGTGCACTGATGTGCTCTAGTGGCCAGAGCTGGGAGTTAGGAAGTTTCCAGTTCAAACCTATTGCCAGTCTAAAAACTGTTTCCAATATTGATAGGATATGCAAGGATTCTTGAGTTGAGGTACATGAAGCGCCTCAAATGTTCTGCAGATCAAAAAATGAAATACTATTACTTTAAGGGCAAGGTTGTGGCAAACCTTCCATATCTGCATAATATTATAATATGCAATAATGAAGTTCCTCTGAGAAAATTCTGGATTTAAATTCCAAAGTCAAAGGCAATAAAGTTTCATGTCTTGGCAACAGACTAGTTAAACTTGTCTTCTTTCCAAATGGGAGAGACAAATGCCAAGCAAGTAGCAATTGATGATTGGCTCACTGATGCTGATTAACAAAAGAATCCAGTGAACAGGCGCTGCATTTTACATCATGGAGTCATTGCCCATATTAGATTTTAACTGACATAACCCTCACAGTAATAAATAACTTAATAAAAACAATTAGGTGAAATAAAACAAGAATGTGATCAGATGAAGTAACAGAGGAGATCTGAATTAAAAGAGATAATGTTTTGAGAGCACATACAAGCTAGGATGGATGCAAATAATTATATCACATGTACACCATAGTCTATCCTAAGATTCTGTAATGCGTTGATATATATGTGTGTGTGTGTGTGTGTGTGTGTGTGTGTGTGTGTTTATAATCTAGTTTGTTAGGAAGTTAGAATTTTAGCAATATTGTTTAGACATAAGCAGTTTAAAGACAGAAATGTATCCATAAGAATGTAGCTTAATAAATATAACTTTAATGGCAGTAAAATTCAGCTAACCAAATTTTATAACTTCCAAAAATATATATAAAGAAAGCTTTGAACCCATATGAGGCGCTATCCCTTTGGATTGGTTATGCATATCTGATATAAATATTGCTTTTGCTCTGCTTAGAAGCCTTGCCTTCAGATCAAACTGAATTTATCATGTGTTCAAACCTATGCATGTCTAAACTTTATATGTAGTATTGTTATGCTTATATTAAAGAAGCAAAAAACAAATCGTTTGATAGAGTGGGTTCTTAAAAATAGAAAGTGAAGTATCAAATCTTACTTTAAGATGGGATCTGGTTGTGTGAAGGATCAAAAGATGTGCAGTTGAATGTGCAACCCAGGATTGCCTATGGACTGGCAACCTATTTGGTGAGAACCTCTGAACTAAAGCAAATGTATTATAGAACATGCCTGGAATTAAATTGACTCACTTGGGTCCAGTCTAGTCCTCAGGATTTCCTCAGAGGGCCCTGCTTCCTTCCCACACCCATTTTCCCTGATCAGTTGGTGTTTTCCCAGTTTGTGTGTTTTTGCACCATTCTAAAAGGCTGAAATTTCAGCCTGCAAGTTATTTATTTATTTAAAGCATTTTTATGCCGCCCCCTTTGCAACAAGCCTCGGGGCGGCTTACAAAGCAAATAAACAAATATTGAATAAAGTTTAAAAGTCCGGATACATCTTGGCAGAGCTATAAAAACCCAATAAATAAAAAACAACAATTAACAGTTAAAATATCATTTAAATAAAAAGGTCTTGGCCTGGCACCGAAAAACAAATAACGACGGTGCCAGGTGGACCTCTCTGGGGAGTGCATTCCATAGGTGGGGCGCCACTGCAGAGAAGGCCCTCCTCCGGGTACTCACCCTCCTAATATCTTTCACGGAGGGATCCCGGAGAAGGGCCTCTGCCGCCGATCTCAGGGGGCGGGAGGGCAGATATGGATGAAGGCACTCCTTTAGATTACCAGGTCCCAAGCCATTAAGGGCTTTATAGGTGATAACCAACACCTTGAATTGGGCCCGGACTGCAATGGGAAGCCAGTGAAGCTGACAGAGGACTGGGGTTATGTGAGAACAACGCCCAGTCCCCGTCAGCAACCTGGCAGCTCTGTTTTGCACCAATTGAAGTATCCGGACTGTCTTCAAGGGCAGCCCCACGTAGAGCGAGTTACAGAAGTCTAATTGGGAAGTTATCAATGCATATGTCACTGTCGCCAGGCAATCGTTCTTCAGGTAAGGATGCAGCTGATGGATCAGCCGGAGCTGGAGGAAAGCGCTCCTCGCCACCGCTGTTACTTGAGCTTCTAATGACAGCTCTGGGTCGAGGAGCACTCCCAAGCTGCGAACCTGTCCCTAAGAGGGAGTGCAACCCCATTTAGGAGAAGGTCCAGGTCCCCCATCCCGAAGCCCGACCCACCTACTAACAGGACCTCCATCTTGTCTGGATTGAGCTTCAGTTTATTGGCCCTCATCCAGCCCATTACCTCGGCCAAGCACTGGTTCAGTACAGCCATTGCCTCACCTGGATTAGTTGAAAATGAGAGGTAGAGCTGGGTATCATCAGCGTACTGATGATTCTGCAGCCGACACCTCCTGATGACCTCTCTCAGCGGTTTCATGTAGATGTTAAACAGCAAGGGGGACAAAATGGACCCCTGCGGAACTCCATGGCATAACTGCCATGGCGCAGAGCCATAGTCCCCCAGCACCACCTTCTGGAATCGGCCATTGAGATAGGAGCGGAACCACTGCAAAGCAGTGCCTCCAACTCCACTAGCCTATCCAGAAGGATACCATGGTCGATGGTATTGAAAGCCGCTGAGAGGTCCAGGAGGACCAACAGGACGCACTCCCCCTGTCTCTCTCCCTGCACAGGTCATCGTACAGGGCGACCAAGGCAGATTCAGCACCATACCCAGGTCTGAAGCTGGACTGAAATGGGTCCAGATAATCAGTCTCATCCAAGAGTGCTTGGAGTTGTGCTGCCACAACCCGCTCTAACACCTATATTTTCTTATCACAAATTAAAGGCCCCTCAACTTGTACTAGCTCATCTTCTGAGTGACAAGTAATTGCTAGGTCAAGAAGTATCATGCCTCTGTATCTAGACTCTCAGGTGTTGCTACTACTTTCAACCACTACTTCATTTGACTAGGAGGAGAGGTGCAGGAATATTTACTTTTTCTAAAGATTCACCAGAAGAGTTTTTTTCAGTAAAAAAAAAAAAATCTGTTAAAGCATGAAGAACTTGTCCCTGCTATTTAAAACAGACTCAAGCAGATTAAAGCACTTATTTTATTCATTTATAAATACTGTTGTGTTTACAAGCATCATAGATGTGAATATTATTCCCAAACTTTCAAACATATAATACTTAGAATACTATATAACAATCAGGAAAACAAAAATCATTCATCTCAGAATTTGAAAGGCCACTCAGAAAGTTGCATAAAAATACATTCTTTTCCATCACTCACAAGCTAGTCTTTTATCCAAGTAGTGTATTTACAAAGATCTGTAAAACTCTCCTTAAAACAGGTAAGTACAGAAAGCTTGCATGTGGAAAGTTAGCGAGCCAATCACAGAACACCACCATCTCTTTTCCAGGAGTCAACAATTGTGGAGGGGACTTGTTACTACATTCCTCAACAGCAGGAGGTTGGGGAGGGAAACACAACAGATCTCATGGCAAAGGCTTAGATCCTGCTGTTACACAAGAGGATTTAGTGAGAACACTCTGAAATTTACATTCACCAAGGGTCCAACTTGCCCCAAGAAAAGAGAACATGTGTCAGGGGAAAGGAAGTCGCTCTGGGAGTTGAGTTGATTTCACCTGTGCACTGCTATCTTAGAAAAACAAAAACAAATCTTCTTAGAACATGCTGCCTCTAGCAAAATCACACAAAAAGATTTCAAATATGGAGGTGAATGTGATCCACCCACAGATCATTCAACAAAAAAGCCTGGGGAATTATGCAAACTTGAAACTAACATATAGTTGCCTTTTGAAAAAGCCCCTCTACTTTGCATTCTTAATACCCCGCAATAGAGGTATGCATCCACAAGTAATGCACTTCAAATTTAGAAGCTGCCCTTTTCATCAAGTGCGCTAGTATGGTAGTGAGCTTAGTTGGGTGGGGAAAAACTACATCAAGCCAAGGGAAAAATACAGAAGGACTGTGCAGAGGTTGCAGCAATGTGAGTGCAAAGGGCCAACTACATTCTTAGTGAGAAATGGAGATGTCTGTCAACTGACTCACTTGTGGAAAGATCAACAAAAATATCACTTTCAGGTACTAATAAACACCCACCTTCCAGATTCAGAAAATTGTCTACAAATGTATAAATGTGTTTCCATTTATTAACGGTAACAGTTATTCCAAAACTCCCTAATACCATAGAGGTCAAGGGGTTATTTGGGGAGGAAATCTAGCCCCCAGACACAAAATGGCTCACCACTCCCAAGTTATGGAGTTAAGAACACATGATGCAATAGAAATCTTCGCAGCACCTTTCTTTATAGGATTGTTGCTAGACATGCTTAGGCAGTCAGTGGGACTTAAAACTCACCATAACTTACTGACGTCTAACCTATTTCAGTAGATCTACTTTAAGTATGCCTAAGTCTGAATTCAAGCAATCACCAGTAAGTCCCAGGCCTTAGCCACCTATCATCTATTTTGGGGGGGGGGGGGGCAGGGGGTCAAAAAAGATTCAAGTCATAATGTGTCAAATGTCAAGAGGGAAAGGGATCTACATTTTGATTTCTACAATTTACACTCTCACATTAAGCTTGCTATCCTGCAAGCACAATGGAACAATACTCTTTAACCTAAATGTGTCAGATCATCCCATGCGATCAGCCAGGAACAAAACTGAACCTTCTCAATGAAAAACAAATATTAAGTCTCTTGCCTACTCAAGCATTGCCATGGGGCAGCATATAACTTATTTCCACTGGTTTAATTTATTGGCAAATAGCTTTATCACTAGTCTTGTAATTCTGGGTTACGCCTTGGGAAAGAGTTTTAGCTGAACATCCAACACTGGATGGCATATATAGCCCATAAAAGAAAGGGTGTGCTATAGTGCTGATGACTATGTTATCAGACTTTGATAGGCTTGCTTCCACTAATTAAAGTTAAGCCCATGTGGAGTGGAAATCATAAACCAATCTGAAATTAGCTTATTTGACAGAAAGTAGTACACTCATAAATCCTACATTCCCAGAGATGAACTGCTGCCTTCCTGACTGAGGTGTGTCTGGTCAGATCTCTAGATTCATCCATTAATTCCCTCTGCCAACAGTAAATCAGTAGGGATATAAAGGGCAGATACTACCATACTATACAATATCAACTGTCACTAAATATTGATGAAGCCAAGTACACTTGCTCTTCCACCTGCCTCTGTGTTCCCATGCCCCAATTCAAATCCTTTTCTATGTTTTCTTGTATAACAGTGGTTCATCCATTTTACTGAAACACAACATTGTCTCTCTTAATACAAACCAAGCAATGGCAAAGTAATCTCTCAAGACGTCTTTCCTATTTATATTTGTTTCCTTAACCTAGTCCTTTCTGCATGCCTCTAATCAGAAACTCTGCTTTGACCAAAAAGTTGTCCATCTTAAACCTTGCCTTCACCGTTTGAACAATGACACTCATTGTTCTGTTTCATCCTTACTGTATGAGCTATGAATTTGAAGTCAAAGAGTTGCACAGAAACTTCAAAATAGCTGTGGAAAAGCATGATACATACTGAGATGTACATTTAGCTCTGTAAATTGTTCAGAGTAAGAAAGTAGCAAAGCAGAAGAGTCTTTTTCCTGTTTTCAAGAACAACTTTCCTGTGTCCACAAGCTTAAAAGCCTTCCTCTTTCACATTGCAGAATAACCTTTCACTGTTTCACCCACATAATTTGACATTTATGCAGAGAATTCTCTAGTGGACTACACAATTATATAAAATCCTTCTGGATTCTAACACTACCAATATGAAGTAATCATCAATAAGGGGGAATATGTTCTCACTAGATTTCTTTAAAAACATGCTTAACAGCTGGAATTACTGAATTCTGCAGAAAAGTTCACTCCCTTGGGTAAAATCTGAGTTAAAGTCATTAACAAAGATATGCATGGGATTTTTGCCTGTGCATGCAACGTGATTAGTTTAAACACAGTTTCCCAATTCACCTGAATCAGCTTTGGAAGCAGTAAGCATCTTAAGGTTTCATCATGTTCTGAAGTTGGTGGCCAGTGTTTTTCAGTTGGGTCAAAATGGTAAACAATGGCTAGTAATTTCCTGATTGTGCCTCATCCAAAGGGAGGACTTATTCATATCTGAAACTTATTCAGCCAAGATATGATTACTTGAACTAGGCCAGTGTTTATTTCAGTGCTGAGATAAATATGGGGTTGAAGTGGTTGATTTGGAGGCCTTCAAAGCTTAAAGGTGACAAACTTGATCATTAAAATAAAGCACTATCAAAATGCATACCTTGATGCCCATAATATCAGTATACACTTGATCTTAGCCAAAGGCCAAGAAGTGATAATAATGACTCCCACGGACTAATCTGATTTAGGCTTTTTCCATGGCACTACATGATAGCCAATGCCTTGCCTTATCAATGAGACTATTTTTTCCACATAATTTTCAACTTAGGTGGAATCCAAGTGTATTTATCAAACCAACATTCAAAGTCTTGACTTCATGTTGTGTCATCCTTTGTGCTGCTATAAGCATTAATAATTTTTGTCATTAAAGTTATGTACATCAAAACTGTGAGTTTTGTTTAACCTTTTATGCTTCGGTTAAGAACTGGCAATAGGAGTGTGCAAGAATCACTGCATAGTAGATTATAAGCACTAGAGAGATCAGCACATGCATTCGTGCCCGTCGTGGAAAGTAGGAGCCGAAAATCCTTCATGGTTCTGTGGTAGAAGGAAAAGCAATTCCCTTCCTTGGCCCAGCCTATCTAGGTCTCAAACAAGTTGAACAGTAAGCGAGAGTAAGAGAAGTGTCAAAAATACCAAACATACAAAAATATGTATTTTTAAAAAATGCTATGAATAGTAGTAAAGCATATGGAATTGTACCCATCCTGAATCCTGATCATATGCTGTACCAATGATCATGCATGATACAGAATGTCAAGCCATTTTTTAAAATGGCTTGCCAAGGAGTCAGGATCTATTTCCTTTTGTTTAAAGTTCACCATAACATAATTGGAGACCTTTGTCCAAAAGCAAACACCTTAATTGGCTAACTCAGAGGTCAGGATTACTGGCTCTTAACAGAATTCCATTCATTTCCTCTCAGCTGGTGGGAACAAGGGGAATACCCATGGATAAGAAACAACAGAAATGTGAAAAAACACCCATGTGTTTATTATGGAGATCACACTTAGCAGGTCAAACACAGATCATGCAGTTTGCTGCACTGAGCTATGCTGAGAAATGCCTGTTTTGCCAATGCTCTTTTTTACCTATTAATGCATGACTACCCCCAAATTCCAAAAGTTCCTTTCTAACCAGTGAGAATTATCTAAAGCTAGCCCAAAACTATAGTCTCATACAATTGATATCATGCTTTGGAAGAAAAAGAACACAAGGAAAATAGAGACCATGCCCACTGACAAAGTGTCATATTCTCAGCAGGAAACCTTCTTAAAAGGTTCTGAGGGTGAAATCTGGTTCTTTGTTGAGTAACACAATGTCTGAAGCAGTTACATTCTAAAAATCCATAAAAGTGAATTCATTCATTTCCAGTGTGCACAGAAGCAGGTTTTTGAACAATACAGATCTTGTTGATGTCTTCACTGGATGCAAACTCATTCATGTCTTACTACTGGGCAAAAGATGACTGTATGAAAATATTCAAACATTATGCAGTACTTTTGTTAAGAGTTCCTATCAAGACCAAAATCATTACCTTCCACTGGGGTTAGTATTTCTATCCATCAGCCTTCCTCCACTTTGAAAATCAAGAATGCTCTTATCTTAAACTGATTTTGCATCCATTTGAAAATGATCAGAAAAATGAATTGTTTGCTCAGTTAGTTTGCAGGGCTTTTCATGCAATGTTATTGTTTCACAGAAAAATGTGTCTTGCTAAGAAAACATTAAGTTGGTATCTTGTGCAGAGAGGTATGGCCTGTATGCGACTGGAAATTCAATAAGCAATCCTTGCTGGTTAGCTGTCTTGCCACTAAGTCTTGGAAGGTCAAGAGCAAAAAGTGGTAGCCAAAGAAAGCAGAGGTTATAAGACCACATTATTACTAAATAGTACCAGGGAAGGCAACCATGGAAGGGAACATAAGGAAGCATCTTGAAGGAGGTGTGCAAAGGTGAAGCAAAATGAAAGGGGGAACCATTGATTGTCCTCCCTCAAATTAAATTAGATTTTAAATCTTACATTAAATAAACCAGTCAGTTACTGTGACATGTAAGCTCCAAGCTAAGTAACTGTTGTCAGACTCCCAGAGAAATAAGTAATTATGATTTTCACAGACTGCAGACTTTTATATTCCAGAAGGGAGGTTGACATATCCTCAGCGACCATTCCCAGTTTCGCTCCCAATTTCTCCTCCAAGACAGTTATCTTAAGACATGTTGGATCAATGTCATATAGTCACTTTTATATCACTTATTACAGCAGATACTTCTATACATCAGATTATGGTGGACGGAAATGGGACTTACAGCAGATAATTTGGGCTGCCATGACCATGCCAACCCAGTCTCTGTCCCTCTGAACAAGTTATTTCAAGATTCCAAAAATAATAAATTGTGGTAGGGTGTGCTGTGTTTGGAGAAGAGGGGCAGGATAAGCACTGTGCAATATGGGAATGCCCAGCAAGGTGCAACAAGCTGTGTGTGTGGCCAACTGATCCGTGTCTGAAATGCCAGGTTTTTTTTCAGAAGCACATTGTAACGTTGGCAGTATGTGCACAGAAATATCCTCTTTATGCCCCTTTTATATTCAATATACTACTTTGACAGTTTACTGATGACCCGGATGAGTGCTCCATTTTCATCTTTCAGCCGCTGATTGTCTGACTTCAGCTCTGACAAAACCTGTTTAAAGATAAAACAAAACATCAAAACATGTCAGAACTGATTGTCCCCAAATTCCTTTGCATGGTGGGGAGAAACACTTAACCACTCATACAACATCAGTCTTTTTTCTTCAAAGTCATCATGCCAGCAAAGATATGTATGCTGTGCATTTACCTTATTCAGCCCATGTGAAATTGACTTTTAAATGCTCATATGTTCAGAGTAGCACTTACACAAGTAAGTATGTTAGGTTACACTTTACACTCAACAACATGTAAATATTCCTTGCAGGTACTATTAGCCGTGATTAAATTTTGGAGAACACTTGTATTTAGAATAATTTGAAAGTCCTACCAATCTGAACACTGCTATTTGTACTGGTCCTGCTTTTCATCAGTTTAGGCAGTGTACTTTTATGATCTGCCTTAAAACACAAATAAATCCCATGTGAGAGAGATCACTCACTTTTAAAACTCGATGGCAAATTATATACTTCCAGAAAATTTTGTGTAGATTTACTAACTTTACTTTTTAATGGATGGTACCCTGATTATGAAACAATAGCCTTGTTTGATAGTATTTCTGTTACATCTTATAGGGATTTATTCTTCTTCATTTCAACACATGGGGAGATATTACCATATACATTATTCAAATCCATCCTTAAAATCACTAAGGAAACATGCATACAATCAAACATACATGAACACACATACGCACACCTGGTAGTCTACAAACTTAGAGTTTATGTCCATAGGTTTTTGGAAAGTATTGTTTGGTAACTTCTTCGCCCGTTGACAGCAGGTTCCTTATGCATGTTCACCAAGAGTAATTTTGCTTAACGTCATTGTGATTACTAGAACAACATTCACATTTGAATATTTGGGTCCCGCAAAGAAAAAACAAGATTCTGTGAAAGTTGCAGCAATATCAGAGATTCATGAGCTGCACAACAATGTGTAACCAAAGATAGGTACAGGATGGGTCCTGCAAGAAATGCTTTGATTAATGCTATTTCGGAGCTTTGGATTACCTCTACTATATATAGTATCGCATGCTGTGGTGACACTGAGCAAACACTGAAGCAAACACCGAGTATTACAGATTTTAGGAAAGGTCAAAAGATCAGAAACTGGTCAATGCTTCATTAAAATTATACAAGCATTTTCAACTCTTACACCTTGGCAGGAAATATTCCTGTTTCTTTTAAGCATTTTTAGGGAGACTGAAAACATCTTATGTAACATTAAGCATAGGAATATACTATGCTACCACTGGGCCATCTAACCTAGTGCTTTGACAATGAGTGGCAGTAAGGGCTCGCCAAGGTTTCATGAAGGATTCCTTCCTAGTCCTACCTGGATATGTTTGGAATTGAACCTGAAACTTTCTGCATGCAAAGCATATGCTCAACCACTGAGCTATGGACCTATTCACTAGAGGCTTCTATATTCTTTAAAGATTTAAACATTAGTATGTATCATGATATTCCTAGGAAGACATTGCCTAAATCTTTAGCTGATTGTAATATGTAGGAAATAATCAACTGGCCACCCCAAAATTAACCTGTAAATGTAAAATCATAATCAAGGATAGTGCACACACCTATCCAGTCTTAGATGTCAATCTTCAATAGTGAAAAGATTTAGATGCTTTCAAAAACCAACAACATTGGATGCTAATGGAACACTAATTGCTGCCATGCATCTATTTTCTACAGGATTATTCTATCAGGAAAACCCAAAGCATTATGACAGGAATGTCAGAGTAACCTTATTTCTTGACATTCATATCCTCTACGAAGAAAAACCATAGCTGTATGGTTCCCTAGAATTACTTTTGCTGATGCAAGCTGTAAGCTGAGTACAAGTTTTAAGAAAAATGTTACTTTCATTTGATTTGAACTAGCTACATGATCTTGAATTTGATGCCTATTTGTCAATAGGGCTAAATAATTATTTTTCCACATTTCCTGCATTTTAGAGATTTCTGTAAAACTAGAGCTGCAAAATCTGTAGATTAAAAATACGAATGATAAGAAAATACTTTTCCAGAGGAGCTTGGAGCTGCTGCCTGTTCGCCATCCTGGGTCCTCCTGCTAGGGCTGCAATGCTGTGCAAGTTTAAACAGACAAAGGCTTACAACCCCCAGCATAACTAGTTGGGCCATGCTGGGAGTTGTAGGCCTTTTCCCTGTCTAAACTATGTAAGATTGTGCTCAAGTCTCTTAGTTGAGTTTTCTCTGTGCATGTCTCTGTTTTTAATCCATGCAAAGAGCTTATCTGTTAATGTTTGTCATGAGCTTGAATGGGCTATTAGCTACCCTTTGTGATAGATACAAAGACTAATGTGAAAGATACAGTAACACATTATAGCAGTATAAACATTTCATCTTTCGAAAGTTAACAAAACTTGAATGACAAAACTATCATGATAAACTACTGTTTCATGTAACCAATCTGTTCCTGTTTACAATGTGTGTGTGTGTGTGTGTGTGTGCTTGGAAGACCTGAACCAAGCTCTCATGGATAAGACATTTTGGAGGGCTTTCTCACAGGGTTCCCATAAGTCACAGACAACTTGATCACACTTAATATGCATGCACATATATGAAAACAGTTCAACTACAGGGCCTCAAAAGTATCATCACTTAGATCTTTCTAAGATATAAGATGTCTCTCATCTTATCCACACAATTAAGAAGAAAGGCTTTAGAAGCTCAAAAAACACAGCAAAAATATAATGTACCTTCATAACGAAATCAGTGGCAAGTCTGTGTTTTCTAATACTGCATCACTAGTAATGCACACCAGATACCATTACATTCCATAAAATGAATCCATATGTAAGTACCCTTAACAATGATCTATATGAACCGATTTTGGCAACTTACATACATTGAGGTAGTAGTAATGTTATTGTTCTATCAGACCTGCATTATTCCTTCATAACTTTCAAAAGCTCTTATCAATCAGTTAGCTGAATTGCTGCGTATTTTCCTCCACTCATACTTTCTGGCATACTTCTTCCACTCATCCCTTAACTAGAAAACTCTTTAAAAAGCCTGAATAGTCATCCTTATTGTTGGACACTGTTCTCTGACATGGAACCCATATGGGGAAAATGCATACCTGAGAAGCGAATGTGTAAATCAAGAACTGTATCTCCAAGACTGTACCTTGTAGGAATCAGAAATGCAAAGTTTATAACCAATAGTACCTGACCAAGAAGCTACTTGCTTACTACTTAAGTGTCACATTTCTTATCTGACAGCATTAGTAAGAACACAGAAAGTGTAGTGGATAGCTTGGACAGACAAGAAGAGTGAAGACCTGCCTGCAAGAGTGGAAGGAGAGGTGAGATCAACTGGAGGGGGAGATGCTACAGCTCTTCTGACTCTGGGGGCTCAGCGGACTGCGAGAGCCTGGCTACAACCCGGGTCAGAGCCCTGTTTTCGGCCAACAGCTGCTCATTCATTTGCCTCAAAGTATGAATCTGTTTGAGCTGGTGAAGGTTCTGTAAAGTGAGATATGGAGGAGATAGACAAAAGACAAAACAGAGAATATAAAACAGCACAGAAACATGAATTCAACTGACAAGCAAGAAAAAAAGAGAGCAGCAATGAGAGGTGGAGCTCAGGGGAAGCACAGAAGAAGCTGGACAACACATGGAAGCATTAGAGAGCCTAAAAAGAAACCTCAGGTGCTGTTCATTCTCTTGACAGTGAAACCTACCCAAATTTTGGGTTTAATGATAAAGCTATCAGTGTAAGGTGAGAAATTACTGTTCTCTTATGGAAATATGTTAAAACTTCATTATGCCTGTAAGCCCACCCTGTGCACAGCACCACATTCCTTTGCAAACTGACATCTCTTTAATGAGGGGCTAAAGAGGATGGACGGTTAAGTATCTATATAAATCTCTTCATATGACCCACATCCTGGCCAAAGTGGGTTTCGTATAGTAAACAGGGATACTGTAACAACTGAAGCAGACGTCTTTAAAAGCAGAATACCTCATAAAACCACTCTCTTGCATTCTATAACATGCAGTAATATTTGCAATGGGAAGGTAAATTAGTCTATACAAGTTAGTGGAGATTCAGGTAACTTACAGCCCACATAAACTATACACCAGGGGTAGAAGATTTCTTTGAGCACTACAACTGAATTCAATTTCAGAGAATTCAGAGGGTCACATTCCAGTGTCAGGTAGGAAAACAAAAACAAAGGCAAAACAAAAAAATAACAGCATATTTTGGATTAAAGCTTTAGCTTACTGCCATTTCCTAACTATTAGTTAAGGCATTTCAACCTTTAGCAAAAAAGCCAGGAAACTACCAAATTATCAGTGGTTGGGGAAAGGACTGGGGCCAGGTGAAGGCAGTCTGTCCATCTGGGGAACTCCAGAGGGCAGGAACCCCAGGTAGGCCCAACTTAAGGCTCAGCATCCCTGCTATAAGCATATCAAAGCTTGTACTTTATGTGTACTTTAGCTCAGTCAGCAGTTCACACACTGAACACCATTTATGTGGCTTCCTTCTTTAGGTAAGCATATGTTGATTCATGTGTATATGTACAGATATAGGCAATACAAACAGAAAATGGCTGGCATGGCTTATTTTAAGTGGGTCCAGCCACTGAAGACAGGTAAGTGTGATATGTCACTTTCTGTGCAAATTTTCCTCTTAGGAAATAGGAATGGAAGCCCGAATCAATGCCAAAAGGAAAGCATATGGTCATTTAATGCAACACAGAGAGTAAGATATAATGGAGGATAAACTTTATAGAAACAGTTACGTTGGGGCTGAGGGATGGGAAATAATCTTGGAAACATTGACTATAGTTGCATCCCCTTATATAGCTCTATTAAAAATTCTACTACTGAAGAACTTAGCATTTAATCCCAAAATATGGGAGATGTTTTTACTATAACAGCATGCAGAAAAGACAAATATGAATCCAACAAAAGAAGGTTAGGTTTTTTTGGGGAAGAGTACTTTCATGGATGATGGTGGTC